GCAGTATAACTACACAGAGAGAGAGAGACAGAAAAAACGGGTGGGAGAGGGAGAGCGAGTGAGGGCACAAAAAGGTAAAAGTCCCCACTGAACTTAATTACTAAGCCTTGGCTGGAGACGTTGAAAAAGCGTTGAGTGCACTTGAGGTAATTTGATTTAATTGTGCGTGCTGCTGCTACTAACAACAACAGCAACAACTACATAAGTCACAGGAGCAGTCATAGTTAACAATAACAACAACAAGAAACTACAACACACACACACACACACACACACACATATACAGTTAGTTAGTTGTTAAGTTCGTGTGTGTTGCGGACGCAGTTCATAAGAAATTTACAAGTGCGCGACGCCTGTTTCCGTTGTTGTTGTTGTTGTTGTTGTTGCTGCTGCTGTAGCTGTAGTTGTTGTTATTGTTGCTAGTGTCTTTTGCTTCTGCCAAGCTCAGAGGTCTTGAACTTTGCAGCTGCCAAGGCAACTGGCCAAGTGCAGCGCCATTGTCACTTGAACTGGCTCAAAATGTCAACAAGTTGCTGCTGTTGCCATAGTTGTTCTGCTTCTTCTCGCAGTTTGTTGTGCTTCAAAAGTAGTTTTCCCAGAATGCTCTCTTGGTATCTATTGAGCTCCACTGGTTTCACAGAAGAGGCTTAGCGCAGGCTTGGGCGCCAGACACGCAGAAGCCCATTGCCCAGATATACCCTGTAAATAATCACAGCATGCTGTCACGCAGCCAAGCAACCTCTCAAATGGGAGAGGATACAATGCATTAGCTGAAAACGAGACCATAACAATGCTCAATCGATCTATCCTCCTATACCAGCAATCCCCTCGCAAAATGGGTATCTCACAGTCATGCACACCCAACTGGCCCACTCTTACTTGTTACTTTGCTTTCCGCTCCCCCTTGAAGCAATCTGTAATTCAATCAATTTATCAGTCTGTCTGTTGCTGCACTACTCCAATCCATCAATCCTTTCATCAGACCAATAAGGCACTTCAATTCATATCGCAAACTAGTTTCATCAATCAGGGAATTGTTCATCGATCTCAGTTATTCAAGGGTATTTTCACTTCGATAACACTTGTAGGTCTGTGCTACATATACATTTTTATTTGATTTCTTTTAATTTACGATTATACGTAATTTATGACAGTTTTATGTGGCTTGGGCTGTTTCCCATTCTGATATATAATATTTTCGGTCTCATTTTTGCCGTTTGAGTTGCGTAAATTTATGAGTTTGGCGCGTTTCCGTTTCCGTTCACAATTAGGCAAGCGAAATAAGCCTAAAAAAAAGTGTAAGTCTAAGCGAAATCTAGAGCTATGCTATGAAAGAGAGAGACGGAGAAAGAGTGGAAAGAAATGGAGACACGAAGAGAGAGAGAGAGAGGGCAATAAGTAAAAAAAAAACAGATTGCGAGACAGAGATAGAGTGATTGAGAGCAAGAGAGAAAAACATAGTCAGAGAGAGAAAGAAAATATTTCTAGGGAACTACTAAAGTCCTTTTGAAGAAGGCATAGAGCATAATTTATTTAAATTTAAATGTTTGAGAAGTGCATAGAAGAGCGTTAATGCCAACAGAAATTCGATTTTATCAAATCACATTTCAATTCAATTGCGTGGAAAACAATTCCAATTCACTAATCCCAAAGCTGATGCCAGCAGAATCTCTAAGTATTTAATCTCTATATATTATTAAAATTATTATCTAAAATCCGCAAGCTTAGCTTTAATTGGTAGASCTCTAAAGCTAATTCAGACTAAACAGTTAAATTGTTGTTCAACTCTTCTCCAACTCTCGCCCATGTCATGCCGGCGGCCAGCTTATTTATTAATAATGCATGTCACTGCATTTACATAGCCGCGCCCCAAATTGTTTAAAGGCGGCGCCGCCATGGGAGTGGCGAAGGGGGGCGAGTGGCAACGTTTCGTGGTTAGCGCTTTACACATGGCAAACAAAACGGTTTCACAATTGCAGACAATGTTGCAGACCTGCCACAAAACAAGACAACAAAACTGATATTCAAATGACATCAGAATAAAACTGGAAGCTGGAAAAAATCTACACTCGACAAAATAATCAAGGAGAACCAGCCAAAGATAGAAAATAAAATGCGACTATCTTTGTGGACTGTGGAAAGTGAGTCTACGGATTGAATGGCAAAGCTACAGCTGAAAGTGAAAAAGGAGAAAACATTTCCGTAATGTTCTGCAAAACCTTTTCGATGTAAAGATTTCCCAGTTTAATAGGAAATAGCGTGGTATCTGTACTATAGTATCTTTAGTATATGTAGTATTCGTAGTATCTTTAGTATCTTTATTATCTGTAATATCTTTAGTATCTGTAGTATCTTTAATACCTTTAGTATTTCTAGTATCCTTAGTATCTGTAGTATCTGTAGTATCTACAGTATCTGTCGTATTTTTAGTATCTGTGGTATCTGTGGTATTTTAAGTATCTGTAGTATCTACAGTATCTGT